CTGGTGTCAATAAAATCGCATGGAAATACTGAGAAACGGGGCTGGGGAGAGGGTGGTCGCGTATCAAACTGACGTAAAGTCAGGGGTAACTCGGTTTTAAATCAGCCGCCAGACGCTTTCTCTCCTCTCTCTCTCTCTCTCTCTCGACGTCATCGCCGTCGTTCGCCAACGCCTTTCTCCGCCATTTTTCAATTATTACGAAATTAGAGGAGCCGTGTGTACGAGGTCTGCCGATCAAATGCGCAAAATTCTCGTCGAAGAGAATAAAAATCGATCGTACCGCGTGTTCGAGAGCTACTTTCAACGCTTATAATTTCACCGTTGGATCTCGTGTGTGCGGCAACCGGTACATTAGACTTAAGACATTCGAAATCAGGTTTCGAATACGTCCTTGTTCCTTGTCATCCCGAGATCCCTGCACGCTCTCTTCCGAGTCGTAATACTTAGTTGTGAGACAACGCATCGATCACGAGTGTCGTTAGAATCTAAGCTAGCTTTACGCTTGAATATCGCCCGGGTAGCCTGAACAGAGGCTTGATCAAGCGAGACACGAGCTACATGTCAGGCTAATTAGGTTTCGACGCGATAATTAAAATCCGGCGTCTGATCGATATCGTGTTTAGCACGAATACCCTGGTGGGCGTCAAAGGTGACGCTGACGAAGAAGAACGAGAAGAAGAACAGGAGGAGGAGGAAGAAAAAGGTCGGAAAGAAAAGACGAGAAACAAGGCTGACGACGTAAGAACAACGGCTGCAACCGTGGACCGGAGGAAGGAAGAGTGGCGAAGAGAGAAGATTGAACTTAACTGGGGTCAAATTGACTCTAGTAGGGAGTCCCTGCATTCAATATGGCGACTTCCTAATAGAGTCAGGCTGACTCCTTTTAAGACGTTCACCGGGCCCATCATGAAAGTACTTAAGGATGCGCACGACTAAACCGAGTAACACGGCTACATGTAGATGTTACAAAAGTGTCGATTGATCGCGCGAGTTATTTGATAGAGCGCCGACGAAGAAATCGTTTGTACTACTTTACGTGTCTGTTCGTTTCTTAGGGCGTAAAAAGGGGAGCGAGAAATACAGCGTTTTAAACGAAGCGATTAAAAAAGAAAGTGTTGCAGAGTTAGCGATTTAACGGCGATAGATTGTATTACAACGTTACGCACCGAGAATTTCGCGATTAAAGCGAAACTGCCAGTTATAAAATCTTTCCCGATTTCTCTCTCTCTCTCTCTTCGGCTGTGTGTGTGCGCGAGAAATAAACGTCCCGGGCCGATAAATTCGTACTGGCAGGGTAGAAATTGCAGATTTTAATGCAGCCAGAGCCAATGGACGCGCACGTGCACTTAGAAAATTAATTTATGTAATTGGTATATCGAGTTTAATTAAATTCCATTAATTACAGCAAAGCGATTAATCAAATATCGCAAGCATGCCACTCGTACGTCGATTCGAAAGCGTTTTTCCTCTCTGGTAACAAAAGGAGAAACATCGACCGATTGATCAACCTATCGTTATCCCCTTCTTTCCCTTTTCCAATTTCCAGCGCGGTAAAAATATTCGCTGATCGTTAAAAATAATCATGATTCGGCGTGAACTGCGATCCCTCCGCGAACACGCACCGTTGCATCGTCGGTTACAAAAATTCGATAAAGTATCGCGACGTGGCTGCGCCCTAAATTCTTCTGGAAAAATGTGTACGCGTAATTGCACGCCTTTAAAACGTTATCGTAATTTTCGACGCCACTTTTATTTTACACCTCTCGCGATGCGAATGGTCGCAAACACGAGTAACGAACAATTTACAAATAGCTGCGTTCGCTCCGTAACCAGTGATGCTTGTGCACTGTCACGTGACAATTAAGCTGATTGTGAGAGACAGAAACCGTGCGAATACTAATGCCGTAACAAGATAGCCGGCCGATATTGACGGCCATTCAGTAACACTTACAAAATTAGCGTCGTTACAGCCACGTGTTACCGTCGAACGTGTTCAAACACAGCGAATAAACGCTTTTTGCGAGCACCGATCGGTAGTTGGAGCTAAATCAAACTTCACGACCCTATGATTTTAACAACTTTACCCTCCAAACTAAAATCAACGCTGTGTCGAACCGGTGTATACGTATCCTCGCGCGTGCTGTTTTCAAATATCCCGCTTAATTCTTTCCCCGTAAAAAAAACCTCGTGCCGTACGCCGTGTCAAGTATTCACATTTTTATTACACCCTTCGATAATGAAAAATTCCGGGGGAAAAGACTAAAAGCAGCGCGGTAAAACGGAGCCACGAAAACTGTCGCAGTGCGACGTGGCTTGCGGACGCGATGCGCTTAGAACGCACATGCACCAACCCAGAGAACCGTGTGGTGCACCTACTCACGGTTAAAGAGTGTTTGAAGATTTGTACAAGCGACTCGCGCGAGTGCGTCGCAATTATGCAAAGCGGCGTTACTCGCTGGAATTGCTCAGCTCCGGGAATTAAACGACGGGGCCTAAGAGGGCCTGGAATGGTAGAGAAAGAGAGAGAGGAAAGGGGGAGGTGTCGATAATTAAAAGACGTTCCAACGTGCAAACGCAGCGGCACGATTTCTCGCGCGCAGCGCAAGAAGAGAAGGTGGAGGCGGAGGAGGTGGAGAGCCACGAAGCGTCGCGTTGTATCGCAGCAGAGGAGCGTCGCGCGTGTCGAGAGACATTAATTAACGTCAGGATCAGTGCATCACATTTGACATCATTGTGAGCCACGGCCAACCCGTTTATCCTAGCGCTACCCGTCTCCTTCACGCGAATACCAACGCGTCGCGACGCGCACCCCACGCCCATTACGAACCTGCCGCCGCGTCGCCTCTGCTAATGGAACGGAACGGCAGAAAAACAAAGAGAGACAGATTTATCGGACGATGCATGCTAGTCGCGGGCAAATTGAACCTTTACGTTGATTAAATATACGTAAGCCAGCTCTGCACGTCCCGACCATCCTCTTTCGAATCTTGCGGTGATTTTGGGGAGGTTAGACTGTTGATTAGATGGAGTTATCTAGTTAAACGAAGGGAAGAGCGAAGGGAGACGTTGATGACACAGTGAGTGTCTCAAGGAAGACTGTTTAATCGTTCTTTTTGGGTTCTTAAGGCCATTGTACAGTTAACTCTCCTGAAACCGAGTTAAGCGAAACTTAGAACGAATGTAAACCAGGGGAATTTGGTCCATGTTACAGTAGGTCTCCGTACACCGCGATCAAAAATAGAGAAACACACCGACTCTCGTTGCTCATTTCTCAAGAAACGAACGAATATATTATTATTTAACCCTCGTACGACGAATGCAGGGTCATTTTGACTCAACAGCGACAAAGTCAGGCGGCTCGGATTACGTTTGGTACAGGAAATACCCCTATTTTACGTATCAAATGTGAATAAACAAGAGAAATACAAAATATTTCATTCCTTCTTGAGACCCGTGTACGATAGGAATTTCGCTATGGGTCAAAACGACCCTGCACTCGTCTCCCGCGTAATTATTTTATTTATTTCACACCCACTGCCGACACAGTTTACGTTCGTCTCACATTCGGCAGGTGTCCCTATACTTGCGAACGAGAGTGTACCTGTGCCAATATGTAGGTTGGTTACAATACCACGACAAAGGCAACCTGCGCGCACTTGTATGGCCGATCACGTGTCTGGCTTGTACCGCAATCGGGCTCACTGTCTACCGACAAGAGTGCCGAGAGGGGTACAAAGCGCGTCCACAGGCTGCCATGTAGCCCCTGCACTCTCTGTCTGCCCTATCGTAAGCGAGCGTGCACGCCTCGCGAACGTCATTCCTGTCTCGATGCAACTAGACAATCTAGTGTAAATAGGGAACAGCGGTGCGTGTGGTATAGCTGACTGGCCGCGTGTGTTACGTGCCCGATCCCGCGTTTCGAGTCCTCTGGAAATCATGAGGCGGATTCGATGATAGAGAGAGGAGGGGGAGGGGGAGGGAGAGGAATAGATTGAAATTGTCGAGCTAATACGATTACGAAGCGCTGCGTGAGGGGCGTCGATGCTCTGGCTAATAGCCTCCGTGCTACTCTGCCTGGATGGATGCGATTGACTGTTTGGGTTTTAAGCCGATTGCCCGAAAACGTTTCTTCCGTAATCTGGCTATTGGTAATCTCTCTCTCTCTCTCTCTCTCTCTGTTTGCCAATGAGTTTCTGACATTTGGCTCCAAGACGTCGAGAGATCGATCGGTACTCTTGCTGACGAATCATTCGAGGAGTAATCGAATCGGGAGCAACTGTGTGGCTTCTCGAGGCTACCAGTGGAAAGTTACGCTATTTGGGATTGCTGGAAAATGATTCTTCTGCTATGACAGAGAAGAAGATTAGGTCTTTTCGTTCGTTGACTGTATCAACGGGATTCTGGAGAATAAGATCCTCCTTTAAACGTCTGAGAGAAGAAAGGTTGTCGCTCTAGGTTACTTTGTCACGTTGGAACATTCTCGTTAGCGAAGTTTGGAAATGGCGTCTTGAACGTAGGCGGTAGGTGTGCGGCAGCTTCGGTCGAGAAAAGTTCGCGACCGAGCTTTGGCGGACGGAGGGATCTCCCGTGGAACAGCAACCTGTAATCCCTGAGAATCGTTTGGGAATTCTCGTTAACGGCAGCCGTTTTCTCGAAAAACCTCCTCCAGGGAGGAGGATCGTAAAGCATGAGGAACGCTCGGTTCGTGTAAAGATGATACGCCGTAAAGGCTCGCGTACGTTTCATTTAGCGAAGCTACCCGGGGTTGATGTAGATTTCAACGAGGATATGCGACGATATCAGGCGGAAACGTCTGTTACGTCGCTCGTAAAACGCGTCGAACCTCCGTGAAACTTCAATCGACTCACTCGACAGAGTGTACGTAGTCTGTTTGCTGGTTGATTTAGCCGGAAAGAAACGTTCCGTAGACCTACCGTCGTCCTTCTTCCCAAGTGGCGGAAAAATCGTCGTTCACTTGTTTCTCAATTCTCTCGTTGCAGTACAACATAAAGAAGCGGGAAGAGATCCAGGAGATGACTCAAGAAGAGCCTAACCCTCTGATGCGCAAGAAAAAGACGCCAGAGGAATTGGCCGCGGAAGCTGAGGCGGAAGACGAAGACGAGATTACAAGTACGTATATTTTTCACACGCGATCGTGGCGGTTCGAAAATAAAAGGAGGTTAAAAACGGTGTATACGTGAAACGAGAGAATGTGAAGGACAGAGAGTGGTTGTCTGACGAATTAATGCGTCGGTGCTGAGACACGGCATGGGGTGATCGATGAAGGGTTAACGAGCCGTGGCTAGAAATTAAACAGCACCACCCTCTGTTCCCTTTCTGAACAAATCCGGCGAGTGCCGTTGCATGCCACCGCGAGTCCCGCTGATTTCGAAATTGACGTTGCTTAATTGAAAGCGTCTGAGTGGAAAAAAAAAAAACAAAACGTCGTTTCCATTGTGTTTCGTAACTAAACTGGGACACGCAAACGTGCATGTGTGTGTCGGATTGAATAGGTGAGAGAGAAGCAATCGGTAACAAAAGTAACTTTGTTCGTCGGACGATTATGATACGGTATCCGTATAAGTTGGAAATGATTTGTTCTTTCTGTTGCAGGAATCAAAAACGCGATAGACGCGCAAATTAAAGAGATCAAAGAGCAAATGGAAGCGAAATGCGACCTCCAATAAGCCTACCAAAACACCCTGGAAGAAGCGGTCGGTAAGGAGGGTGGCGCCGTCATGTGTCATCGCAGGGCCGCATCCGCCTCTCAGTCAAAGAATGAGCGAGATCTGACGTGTGTTGTTGTTCTTGTTGTTGTTGTTGTTTTTCGAGCGAGCAAAATCGAGGAGAACGATAAATGGAACGCCCATCACCGCTACTATAATCAAATCGTCTAGGTCGTTGTTGTTGTTCAACATTTGTAGATCGAGATTCGAGAATCCGTGTATCGGCCAGTGGTGACTCGTTGTTACGGAGGAGAGAGAGAGAGAGAGAGGTGTCGAAGGAAACACCGTACAACCACTCGAGACACACCGCAAGAAACAGCCTCTGGCGCTTCTCCATCGCAAGGAGTTTCTCCTCCTCAGGAGGTTCTCGGAGGATCGAAACGATCCTGTCGAGGGTTTTCTGCAACGGTACTCTAGCACATCGAGGACGATCTCGAGGAACGAACGAACGCATCGACCAAACGGAACAGCCCGTGAACTTAGATCAATATTAGCGACGAGAGAAATTCCTCGGAGAGACGCTCTCGCGTTCCAAGGGACGTGTCGTTGTCGATATCGGGAATGACGAGACACGGAATTAAATGTCGTTCTCATCGACTGGAATGGTCTCGAAACAGAAAAAAAAAAATACAGATTCAAGGTTACCCATTGTTAGAACAACGAATTGGTTTACTATTTAAAAAAACAAAAAAGTGTGAAAAGAGAGAAGAAGAAAAAAAAAGGGGGGGGGAAAGGAACTGTCGAACGACGAACGACGATGAACGAGAAAGCCTCTTCGGAGAGCCGATACAACCGGGGAAAAGGTGTACGAGAGACATTTTGTATAGAAAGAAAGAAAAACGAGGAAAAAAATGTAGAACGATGACAAGGGAGAAAATGGAGGAAGCTGCGGCAGACGCGAGAACGTATAAAAAAAAAGAAAATAAAGTATGCGATCGGCGAGATATTCGTTTACGCCTTAGGATTCGGGGGAGGAGGACGAGACGATCGGGGAAGGAAATGGAAGTAGTACCATCGACGAAAGATCAAACGAAAAAGAAGAAGGAAAGAAAAAGAACGAAGGAAAAATAGACGGTAAAATGGTTGGATCGATCAGTCTTTTTAGATATCGCACGACTATCATGGCGTAGACGAAACATGAGCATTCGAATGGGCGCATGGAAGTAAAAAAAAGACGTAAAACTAGTACCTAAGTTTCTAGCGAATTTTCGTATAGCGGTATAAAGGAATAATAAATAACAAAAAAGAAAACAACAAAAAGATGAAACTACCAGGTAGCAGAGTTACGTAGTGATTAGTTCGTTCGACGGCTGTTCAAAGAAAAGCGAGAAAAAAGAAAAAAACGGAAAAAAAGAAGATACCAAGGAGATCAGAAAAGAGGGAGTCATTATTTATTATTCGAGTTATTCCCATAGCTCATTACCGCGGTCGTATTGTTCTTATTATTACTGTTGCCGTTAAATGTTTATATTTAGAAGAAACATACAAAAAAAAAAGTGAAACCAAGTTACAAGACAAAAAAGGATCGAGGGCCACGAGCAACTCGAAAGAGACCAAAAGAATGCGGAAGAAACACGCGAAGACGGCGATGGACCGCTTTCGAGAGATAGAATTCGAAAGAAAGAAAGAGGGAGAAGGTGAATAAGAAAAAGAAAGAAGGAGTAATTCCATGTGAAGGAGAAAACGAGAGTAACCGGCGGCCCTTGCTCTCCCTTCCGTCCAAAAATTCGAATTTTTCCGATTATTACCTCTCGGCAAATTATAAGCTCGATCTGATCACGTAGTGAGACGCGTAACACCTGAGCGATTCTTAGGGACAATTTAGTTTAGGTGACACCAAAGGGAAATAAATACAAGACGAATAAAAAAAAAAAAAGAACAAACAAACGTAATGCGATTAAGAAGATAAAAAGCAAATCGTTAAGTAAACAGCTCGACGATTATTATACGAGCAGCACTGACTGTCGCGTTTACAAAGAAAAGAAAAACCAAAAAAAGAAGAAGAAACCAAGATGATAAGATAAAGTAAAAATGCCTTTCTTTCATGTTTATACGGTGCGTTTCTATCGAGTGTAATTATACAGTAGGTTAATTGTTAGAAGCAAAGGTAAAGAGGTTTACACGTTCGTGACCGATTCTGAAAGAGGTGTTTTCAGGTCTTGTTAGACGGGAGTGGTCTATACGACGATCGGGAACTGTTCTCTTGTTAGGAAACGGGAGTTTCAGGTGTTACCGCCGGAAACGTTCGAGCAAAGTTAGCCATTGTTTCGTCCTTTCACGAAACGCGGTTCACCGGTCTTTCAACGTGCTTGTCCCAATTTAATCGTCGCGACAAACCACGATCGTGCTTTTCTAGCGCGCGAACGACGGTGGACGGGATGGACAGAGCATCGACTGCCGGCAAGTAACGCGAACCTTATACATATACGGGATTATACCGAGGGAATAGGAATATCGTTGTGCGTCGATTCAACGATTCAAGCGATCGAAGCGAACAAGAGACAAAGGTCTAAGTACGCGTAAAGAGACTGAGAGTAAACTCTGTTTTAAATTTAAAAGGAAAAATGGTACACGCTGTGTAATATAGGATTCGTCGCGTACGTTTCCGAGTTGGGTATATGTATAGGGAGGATCGGCGAAATCGAATCTGCGATGGAAAAATGGTAAACGCGAATAAGGACGAATGGAGGAGAATTTTTGTACGTGTGACGGCAGGAAGATGATACGAAAGTGTACTTTTTTATGTTCGATATCGTTCCTCGTTCTGACACTAATATCTATATATTCTTGTATCTTCTTCTTCTTCAAGCTAATACCTTTCTCGAATCTCTCGATTGATTCTGACTCTTGAAGCAAACGAACGGAAAAAAGAAAAAAGTATGTATGTATACAACGGCTATCCTCTGATTTCTTTGCGAACTCGAGATTCTCTGTTGAAAAAGAAAAAAGAAAGGAATGAAGAAAACACGCGCTCTTATTATACTCGACCATTCGGAATAAAAAAAAGCACACAGTTTCTCGACGATACGCCGCACGATAAAATTCCAATTGCGATGACGAAACGAGACGAAGGGGATATAATGAGAAAGAATTGGAAAAGAACTTTCCTCGCCGCTTCGAGTCTCAAGTAGTGTTACACATTCACAGGACCGCGTCCAAAATGTTGGGAAAAAAACACCGGAAAAAAGGGAAGAAAAGGGGAATTTTCCGATGTGAAGAAAGCGAGAAAAGATGCCGGAAGGCCTTGAAAACTAAAACACTGTTTCGCTGTGTATATACATTGTATACAAAATGGACGCATGTCAGCTTTCTATGTGCACTCTGTTGTTTCTCGATGTGTGTAGAAATGTGCGCACCCGGTTAGTCGACGACTTTTTCCTAGCACGTCCGTGTACTTTTCCATTCGTGTCACTCCGCGACGGGAGAATTCCGTCGAAACTTTCGTCCCAGCTTCGATAATACTTGGATATCGAAAATACCCTTTTCACCAAACTTCCAACGACCCGCCGTAATGTAGCGTAATTAATTGGGAAAAGAACAACGGCGAGAATTACGACGAGAACGGTCGGAATTACCGAACCGCGAGCGATCTCTCGACCACTGAATTCTCCGCACAAGAGCAGAGAGAAGTAACTTTCCGCCGGGGAAGAAATTCAACGAACGGCTTGGGAACTTTTTGGAAAAACCGCGTCGCGAGTTCCACCCCTTTCCGCGCTCGGCATCGTAAAATACCTCTTGGCAGCTGTTTGTCCGCGAAAAACAAACCGAGAACTTTTCCAGAATCTCCGGCGCTCGACTTTATATCCCTTCGACCAGCTGGATTGGCAGAGAAGTTTCGGTGGAAACTTCGAGCTATCGCGATAGAGCGCCCAGTGATTCCGCGAATTTTTATAATCTTCTCGCCGTTCGCAGTGACCACAGAGACTTTGCCGAAAATTCGCGGGTGTCTCGATAGCAGCCAAATCTTCGACAAAGGGGGGTAAAACAGTGGTCGAGAATATGTTGCGATTTTTCATATTCCTCTCGCGGAGTCGCACGAACCTCGATGTCGAAAAAATAGAAGAAAAAAAAATTTTTTTTTAAAAAAGCGCAAAAAGAGTGGATGTGCTTCTCTACCGGGCATACAGCCTCTCTCGTGTCTCGAAATGCATGCTAGCCGCCTCTCTCTTGTCTGTCGATGTCGATGTCGTTGATTGGATCTTCTCCAATTTATTATACGCGTGAGATCTTCGAGGATCACTCGACCAAACAAGCGTAGAGTCTACAAAAACCTTAGAACGTGTATTTTGCTACTACGTATCGCGCGAGAAACGAGAGAAGAAGAAAAAGAAGTATTATACGAGAGAATTAGGGAGACATATCGTGATGATTCTCGAAGATCCGCAGCTCGCATTCTTTCTCTCTCTGTTTAACGATCAATCCTTCCAGGCAAGGAAACAACGCTTCGAAAATGTACCTAGGAACACACCTTCTAATTCTAAATAGTCCTCTCGCCCTTTCCCACCCCGTCCACGAGAAAAAAAAAAAGAGCATCCCTGTACCGACCGTTTATTCAGACAAGCAAAAAGAAATGATATCTCGTCTCCTGTGCGATCTAACTCGAATATACACTTCAAGTCAATTACTCAATAATTAATCCAAAGATCTATATATATATAAATATATGTACATCTATATTGATTCTAGAAGAGGAATAACACGCTCGTACGTTTTTTCTTGTGAATTTTTGTGAATATAAATATCTTAAACGGCAAGTTAATCGACTCGCTGCGCGACTCCAAGGTTTGCGAAAATAGAAAAAAAAAACTGGTTAAACAACGTTCTTTATCGTACAACAAGATGACAACAGAAGGAAAGTATATTAATTGGATATCAAGTTACTATCGAAACAGCTTATACATATAACACAGAATGGACAGCAATGTGTAGTTATTATCATGGACTGTTTTCCTAACCCTTTATCCATTTCTCTCTCAATCTCTCTCTCTCTCTCTTTCATCTTTTCAATCTCGTAGCTACTTTTCTCTCCCTCTTTCTCTGTGTCGTCTTTCACTCAAAAACCCTCGCTCGATGTGTTTTCGTCCCTCTCCGTATGCTCGACTGTTCTCTTTTAAACTCACGACTACTTAAACGCACGTGTCGCATGAAGAAGAAAAGAA